TGTAGGAAGGGGACAGATTCTGGCATTCCAGGGGTGTGGGAGGAGTGGATGAAATGCCTACATCCCTCTCAGCCTGTCCTGTCTTTCCTGAGGGTCCTGGGTGGAGGTGGGGAGGAGGGTGAGAATGAAAACTGTGAAAGTAAGCAAACGAACCTTTTTATTCTATATTTCCTCTTCTGTCTCTCCCTGCTTCTATCTCCTCAGCTGCTCCCCCTGTATCTTGGTATTTCCTCTCTACTCAATAATGTAATTATTAAACAATTTTGCTTTTCTAGGATACAGGAATGGACTGAGAGCAGGAGCCTTCCCTAGAGCTGGAGCCCAGACAGGTGTGGGGAGTTAAGGGCTGGGAAGCCTGGGTTTTCAGAGAGCTAGAGGATAGTGGTTAGAGATGAGAAATGGAGGAGGTCTGCTGGGTTCTAGTGGGAAAGACCAGGGGTTTGGGGCTGGCTCCTGAGTTCTTGGAGAGGAAGATGGGAGAAAGCCATACTCTACTTCTCAGCCTCTCTCTTATCTTTCTCCAGGCCTCGGAGCGGGGATGAAACCTCAGAAAGCAGGTGAGACCTCTCTCTCTCCTTTTTCTGTTTTTCCTCTCTTGTCTTACTATTCTTGTCTGTTCTGTCTCTCTCTTTCCATTGGCTGCCCACTCCTACTCCTTTCCCTAACCTCCCATGCTGGGCTTAGCTAAGTAGGTACCTATTATTCTGGGCTCTGAGTGGTAGCTCTTGTTCATTCCTTTCCCAGGGTTCCATCCCCCCATCCCCCTGTACCTTTGATTCTGCCCACAATCAACCTCCAGCCTGAAACCACTCTGCTCCCTGAAAGGCCCATAACATAACCCCTTCCCTCTGTCTCCCCAGCATATAGAAACGGATTGGGTAATGGAGCTTTCCCAGGAGCTGGAGCCCAGTCAGGTGAGGAAACATGGGTCTGGAGCCTGGGATTGCCTGAGTTTTTTGAAGGATGTTAGGAGGAAGTGATAAGATTTAAGGCTCAGGTTGCTAGTATTGGACATTGCTGTGGAGAATCTAGGGGGTAGAGCTAGAAGGGGGCAGGGCATAAAAACTGGTATAAGGAAGGATGTTTATTCTTAGTTAGGTATGAGCTCTATACTTCCCTCCTTTCCTCCTTCCTCTCTGGATCCCTTGTCACTGTCCTTAGGATTCCTTCTGGATTTAGGAATTTAGGAATCCCACAATACACAGGCTATTCACACCCATTGAACATTTGGGGACGTTGAGGCCCAAAGAGGGTGTGCCTCATGCCACACAATTGGAAAGCAGTCAAGTCAGGATTCAGGATTAGAGCCAGATTCATGGCTCCCAGATCAGGACTCTTCCCAGACAGGGATGCTGCATGAATAGGTTTGCTGGGGTCTCCAAGAGGTGTGGGGCAGAAGGACAGAGAGGATGAAGAGTAGATTTACTCAGACCCCCCCCCATAGTCTGACATTTTCTATTTCTTCCCCTGGGGTTCTCCCTTGGCCTAGGGCTTCAGAAGCCCCTTGGGACAGGCAGGCTCTGGACTCAGTCTTAGATCAATAACACCTGAACCCCTACTATCTTCCCACTTCCTACTTTTTCCCCTTTCCATAGGGTAGAAATTCAGGATGACTATGGGAAGGGGAAGAGCAGAATGGAGCTGGGCACAGATGACTGGGTTGCTGGAAGTTTAGAACCTATAGGCAGAACAGACTCCTTTCAGCTTTACCATCCTCTCTCCCCAGGCCTTGGAGCTGGAACCAAGCCTCAGAAACCAGGTCAGACCTCTCCTAGGATCTCTCTTTGTTTCTGTCTCCTCCGGCTGTCTCCCTCCATATCTTCCATCTCAGCAAACCCCTGGCCTATAGTTTCTCTCCTGTATTTGTCCTTCTCTATCCCTGATTCTCATTGTGTCTCTTTGTCCTTGTCTCTTTCTTCCTTTCTCTGTCTCTTTCTCTTCCCTCTTTTCTCCATTTGCCTCTCCTTGTCTTTGTCTGTTCTTTTCAACATCTCTTTCCCTAGTACTTTCTTCCCCACCAACTTGTCTCTCCAGGATATGGAAATGGACTAGGAAATGGCGTCTTCCCTGGGGTCGGAGCCCAGTCAGGTAAGGGGAGCTGAGGGTTGTAATAACTGGGTCATCAGAGGGCAGTAGGAGATTGGTGGGGGGAATCTAGGGGTTGGAAGATGAGATTGGTGGGTTCTGATGGAGAGGAGCAAGGATTAGGGAAAGATCCGTCCTAGGGACCAAGAGGGGAGAAGGGGCAATGTCAGTCCCTTTTCAACTTCCTTGTCTTCTCCCCAACTCCCAGGGCTAGGAGGGGGAATGAAGCCTCAGAAAGCTGGTGGGACCTCTCTGTCTTTCACGTCTGTCTGCCTTCCTAACTTGAACTCTCCCTATTTCTGTTGCTGTTGCTAGCTCTTTCCTACCTCATCATCATCACCATGGTTTCCTCCTTTCCCTCCCTCCCACCACATCCCCTCCTCAACCCCTGGACTGTAGTCTGAAATTTTTTCCCAATGCCTTCTTTTGGAATACACTTGAAAAGTTGTCTACACAGACTTCTTATGATGCCAAGACTTGGGCTACTTCAGGAGGTAGAGGTGGGGCTGGGGCACAGGTCACATAGTTCCTTCCCTCTCCCTGTACCTGACAACTCCTCCAAAGGGAACCACTCCAGCAATTCTAGACTCCCATTGCTCTGTTCTCAAGTGTCCCATCCTGATCCTTTTCCTCTATCTCTCCAGGATACAGGAATGGGCTGGGAGCTGGGGGCTTTCCGGGGGCTGAAGCCCAGCCAGGTGATATGAACTAGGGGCTGGGATGCTTGGTTTATCAGAGGCCAATGGGATGTAAGGGGGGAGGGGAAGCTGTGATGATTGGTAGATAAGTTGCTTATGGTTAGAGTGGAGGCTGATGGGGGGGTGGGAGTGCAGGAAGCAGAACTGGATGATAGAAAATTTAGGCTTGAAAGGGAAGGGCAGGGGCAGCTAAGCGGTGCAGTAGATAGAACTCTGACCCTAGAGTTGGGAGAATGTGAGTTCAAATCTAGCCTTAGATACTAAATAAGTGACCCTGGGCAAGTCACTTAAACCTGATTGACAAAAAAGAGAACAGCCCCCTAAAAATGAGTTATTATGTTTGATTTTCTGTCTGCGCACATTTATTAAGCACCTAAAATATGCTAGGTGCTGGAGATACAAAGACAAAATGCCTTTGCATAGAGGAATTTTTATTCTACTCACTTTGGGGATGAAGGTGACAAATCATTAGGGTATTATCCCTTAATCTTACCCAGGACCAAGCAACAGAGGCCTGTTTCTCAGTTCTAGCCCCAAACTCTATCCATTTCCCAATTCCCTTTCCTCACTCCAAGCTGGGTCTCCACATGGAAACACTGACCATGAGACCTTCAGGCTCACAACCAGATCCCTCTTAGCCTGCCTCTGCCACAACTTGGCCTTGCCCCCTTCCTCTCACTGAAGGGCTCAGGGCTCAGAATGGCTAGGAACCAAGTAGGTTGGAGACCACGATGGAGCTGGGAGTGAGATAGGTGAGTTCTTATGAGGTTGAGCTGTCAGACTGAAGGGAGAGTAAGAGTTGGGATAAGAGATAAAAAGGTTTGAGACTTTGTGTTTGGAGATAGCAGGGAGCACTTAGGGGAAGAACTAAGGGAGAATGCTGTTAGTGGGACTGAGGGAAGGATTTGAGGAGTCAAGAACCGGAGTTGGCTCCCATTCATTCTCTCTCTGGTCTGTGCCCAGGATTTGGAGCTGGAACCAAGCCTCAGAAAGCAGGTAAGACCTCTCTCTCCATCTCTGGGCATCTCCCTTTCTATGTCTCTTCTTTTCTTTTCCTCTCTGCCTCCTATAATCTCTCTTTGTGTCTCCTTCTGATGCATCTATCTCTGTCCTAGGTTGGGGAAAGCTCAGATTTAGATAAGATAAAACTTGTTGGAGCTCAGCTTGGGAAGCTAGGTCTTGTAGAATCTCTCTAAACACCTTACCCCATAACTCACTCCCAAATTCTCCTTGCCCCAGGGCACTTCTCCACAACCTCTTTGCTCCAGAGTGCCTCTCTCCACCTCTTTCCCTCCTTCTGCCTTCTGTGTTATGGGCCTTGCACTGACTAGGGCCCAGGCAAGGAGAGAGAGCTTATAGGGAGGGGTAAAATGTGGCCCCTTAAAAGGATTTGTTCTGTGAGTTTGGATTCAGTCAAAGGGCTGCACTTGAGGACCTACAGGGCCACACGTGGTCTTGAGACCGTAGGTTTCCCACCCATGTCTAGGATATGGTGTGTTGAACTGAAGAAGAAGAAAGATGAATGAGTTGTCTACTAAATGGACTACCCTCACCTTTCCCCTATAACTCTCTTTCCCCCAGGCTTTGGAACAGGGATGGGAATTCAGAGAGCAGGTAAGACTTCCAAGTTTTGGCAAGTCTCTGTGTGTGCCTTTATCTCTGTCTACATCTCTCCCTACCCTCCACCCCCTGGGGCCTTCTTCTCAGTTTAACTGCCCAAATCTGTCTCTTCAGGAAATGGGAATGGTCTACAAGCTGGGGCCTTCCCAGGAGCCAGGGCTCAGCCAGGTAAGGGGATCTGGGTTCCAGACACTTGGATTCTGGAAAGGGGAATAATGGGACTAGGAGCCCCAAATAGCATGCCCTGAACACAACAGAAGAGAGTAGAGTTCTGGGACTCAGAAACCTGGACCAAGATGATGGTAAGAGGTGGACATGAGAGAGCTGATGCCTCCCCTGGGCCCTACATTCTCCTATGTCCTCTTCAAAGGTCACCAGAGGAGCAAGGCCTGAAGCCTGTAGTCCTGAGAGTAAGACAAGTGAGGAAGGGACATAAAGATAGCTTAGAGCTCTGAGCCCCAATCCCTACTGTGAACCAGCACCATGCTTCTCCCTTGTCTCACCCTGGAGGCCTCCAGCAAACCTATGTCTCACCTAACCAACCTCAACTCCAACCTTAATCCCAATTTATCATGGCGCTCCATCCTCAATTGTGATCCAACTGGATACCAGCCCTGATTCTAACTGATCTCAATCCCAACTTAGATCTCAACCTCTATCCTGATTTTGAGCCCAAACTAAGCCCTATTTCTGATGCTGATGTCCATCTTAGACCCAACCTTTATTTTGATCTTAATCCCAATTCAGATCTCAGTCATATTCCTATTAGACAGAATGTCACTCATTCACTCTTCTTATCAATATCCATGAAGATGAAAGAAAGGATCCAAAGCTCATGGACAAAGATATCTTGCTTTGAGAGACAGCAGGTTATTATGGAATACAGCACCTGATTTTGGTCAGGATGGGATGGGATGAGGTAAAAGAACTTGGATCTAGAAAGTGAGGTTCCTTGCTTCCAGGTTAATGTGGAGCTGAAATTGAGGTGCTTTAGGCGGCTATGAGGCAGAAGTTAGCTTTGCTCTTGTTTTTTCCCTCCTCCTCCTCCAGGTCCCTGTAATGGGGGCTCCATTCCAGCTCCCAATGGAGTAGGGCCTGCAACAGGGAGTCCCTCAGAAAAAGGAGGTGGGTGTGGAATCTGGGAGTGGGGGAGTGGGGAAGAATCATGCTCTCTCTTTCCCATCAGCTTTACATCATTATCTATATCTATATCTATCTTTTTTGCCACATGCCTTCGTCTCTCTCATTCCTCAAGGCATACTCCCCAGATAGCTGGGCTAGGAGCCAGAAGACTGAAATTCTGGTCCCCATCCCTAACTCATTGTGTAGCTTCGGACAAGTCACTTCCATTTTCCAGGCTTGTTTTCTCCTCTATCAAATAAGGGGGCTAGATTTGATGATCCCTAAATACCTTTCACATCTAATATGTTCTATGATCCCTTCCAACTCTGACATGCTATGTTCTGTGATTCTGTGTTCTATATTCTCAGGTACTTTCCAGCTCTACATGCTAAGTTATTTGGTCTAAGGTCATTTCCAGGTCTAACATTCTATGTTCTAAGAGCATTTCTTGCTCTGACATTCTATTTTTAAAAATTATTAATACATTTTTATTTATTCATTAAATATTTCCCAATTACATGTAAAAATTTCTAACATTCATTTTTTAAAATTTAGAGTTCCAAATTCTCTTCCTCTCACCCATTCCCTACCCCTTAAGAAGACAAGCAATATGGTATCGATTATACATGTGAAGTCCTGCAAAATATATTTCCACACTAGCCATGTAACATTCTATTTTAGGTTCTCTGATTCCACTCCTCTTTCCCTGTGTCCTATTCCCCTCTCTCATGAGCTATGATCTCTACTCTATCTTCTGTCTGTTTTTCATCTTGGGTCCCCTTCTGTTTTTATCACATCATGTTTGAATTTATTTTCTCCCTATAGGAGTCAGGGCTCAGAATGGCTATGGAGCAGGTAAGGGTATAGCGGAAAAGGGGTAAGGTGGATATTGGGAATTAGAGGAAGTCAGCTAGCTTCCTGGGAGGGGAAGGTTGGAAATTGCTTGAGTGAAGGAGGGGCACTATGGCTGAGATATGGTTGAGGTCCAGAGGCAGCTTCTTATGGCAGATATGCCCTCAGCTCTATGTTCTCACACCTGCTTAAGATGGGCAGTTGGACCTCACTCAGGGTCCTAGTTTCTCCCTCAGGTCTTGAAGATGGATTGAAGACTCAAAAAACAGGTAATGATTCTTTGCTCTGCTTCTGCTTCTCCCAACTTGCCTCTCCCATCTTCCTTCTTTCCCTCCTCTTTTCTCTCCTGGAATTCCCCATCCGTCACAAAGAGATGGCTTTTGCATGCCCTAACATCACCAAACTATCTCTCCTCAGGACTCAGAAATGGGTTTGGAGCTGGAGCCTTCCCAGGGGCCGGGATTCAGCCAGGTGAGGGGAACTGGGGACCAAAGGCCTGGACTGAGGAAAGGAGTCAGTGCCTTAACTTTCCTAATTTTCTTCCTATATGATAGTAGTTCTTTCATTTTTGTTGTTATTGTTGATGATGGGAAGGCTAGAAGGACCCCAGGATTAGGGAGATGAGAAGCACAAATTTGGGTTTGAGAAAGAAAACAAACTTTCATAGGTAAAAGTGAAGTTTTGAAAGTGAGATTCCTGATATCTAGAAGAGAAGTTGGGCTGGGACTGGGAGGAAAGGGAGCTGATCTGAGTTGGTTCTGTTTCTTTCTTCCTCTATCAGCCTCATGAAAAGGTCCTTAGAATATAGAAAGTTAGGGGCAGCTAGGTGGTACAGTGGATAGAGTACCAGCCCTGGAGTAAGGAGAACCTGAGTTTAAATCCGGCCTTAGACACTTGACACTTACTGTGTGACCCTGGGCAAGTCACTTAACCCCATTGCCTAGCACCCCCCCCAAAAAAAAACATGGAATGTTAGAGCTGAAAGAGACATTGGAACACATAATGCCATAACCCAAAGAAAATCTGAAAACACAGCATGTTAGAACATACAATGTTAGTGCCACACAGACCTGAAGACATCATCAACCCCTTCTTTTTACAGGAAAGGAAACTGACACCCAGAGATGGGAAGTGATTTACTTCAGGTCACATAGTGAGAACTTGCCTTAATGACCTAGATCTAAAAGGGATCTTAGAGGACATCTAGCTAAAACTCTTCCTTTTGCAGAGGAGGAAACTGAGGTGAAGGGATGTGAAGGAATTTGCCTAGGGCCAGCTAGTATGTATCAGATACAGGATCTGACCTCAGGTCCCCCAGCCCCAATGTCTATACTCTTCCCATGGTACTGTGCTGCCTTCCCCAGGCTGGGAGTGGGATTTAGCCTGTTCAGCTTCGTACCAGAGGGGAGAAGGGGCAGAGAGGTAGCTACCACCTGTAAGGAGAACCTGTCTAACAATTAGAGCTATCTCAAAGTGTTTTGGGTTTCTACTCAAAAACAGTGAAGGCCAGTTGAATGACTGGATAGGGACTGAGCCTAGAAACGGTATTGAAGATGAAAACAAGGATTCATTCACCCCAGTAGCATAGACTGCCCACTCAAACAATCACAACAATGTCCTTTTGTCCTCGTGTGCACACAGCCCCAGTAGTTCCATTCACTTCTTTCCTAGGGCACACCTTCACCCATCCTTGACTCCCTTACTCTTTCCATTGCAGGTTATGGTGCCATGAATGGCTATGGAGCAGGTAAGGGGATTGGAGGGAGGGAGGCCTAACTTCTAGGAGGGACCAGCGTCCAATCAGGGATGGGGAATCTGTGGCCTCGAGGTCACATGTGGCCCTCTAGGTCCTCAGGTGCTGCCCTTCCAAAAAAGTTTGGATTCTGTCAAAGGGCCACACTTGAGGACCTAGAGGGCCACATGTGGCCTTGAGGCTGCAGGTTCCCCAACCCTGGTCCAAGTCCTATTCCTTCGCTTTCCAATCTCTTTTCTCCTACCTCTTAGGTCTTAGAGGAGCCAAACCACAGAAAACAGGTGAGACCTCTCCCACTGATTTTCTGGTGCTCTCCCCACTCCTCCATTCATGGGTTACATTACCTCCAGGAAGGGAATGGTGTGGAAGGGAGAACCTGGATTCCCAGGGCTTCCCCACCCTCCCACCAACAAATCTGTCTTCTCAGGCTATGGAAATGGATTAGGAGCAGGTGCTTTCCCAGAGTCTGGGCCACAGCCAGGTGAGGAGAGATCTATAGGAAAGGGTAAGGCCAGATTCCAGATAAGTGAATCCACCTAGGGAACAGCCCTGGGATGGGGTGGGGATGGGACCAGGTGAAGCTGTAGAGTTCTGAGAGGTGATAGAGTCCAATATAACTCAGGGTTCAGAGCAGGGATGCCAAGCCTTCTTCACCTTTGAAAGGTGGCTATAGGCACAGGAGAAAGGGCCTAGAACAGAAGTTCAAGGGACTTGGATTCTAGAACCAGCTCTGCCACTAACTAGTTGTATAATCATAGGCAAGTTCTTTCTGCTTCCTTCATTGTAAAATGGTGGTGAGGCTGGGGTGAGGGGAACATGGCTGGGAGCGTAGGGGTAGGAAGAGATGAAATGATCTCTAAGTTCTCTTGTAAAATTAAGAAGGTCTATAGATCTCTTTCTTTGTATTAGAAAGACAGGGGAGGGGATGTGGCTAAGGGATATCTTATAGACCTCACTACATATTCTCCCAGGCTCATCTATCTCTCTATCCCTTCATCTCTAGTCTCAAGCCCAGGCTCATTCAAACAAACATAATCTCATTCCCCTTAGCCCTTTGCCCAGAGTCCCTTCTCAAAGACATGGATTTCTCTGATATCCTGATAGTTCCCCTTCCTTCCCCTCCCCGCTAACTGCTAGTGCCTTCCTTCCTTAACTCCCTAATATTTATTCTGAATATAGCTATACATGTACATGTCTCTTCAGATAGAATGTAAGGTCCTTTAGAGTAGGGATTATTTCATTCTTTGTGTTTATGTCCCCAGTGCCTAGCACATAGTAGGTGCTTAATAAATGCTTGTTGGTTAATTACCTAACCTGTTCTCTCCCTGCAGGGTTTGGGACCCCAAATGGTTTTGGAGTAGGTGAGGAGGGATTAGGGATGAGGGTTGGGAGATTGGACTCCCAGTGGGATTGAAGAGTTTAAAATTCTGAGTTATTCCGTCTCTCTTTTTCTCAGGCCTAGGTGGTGTGAAGCCTCAAAAAGCAGGTAAGGTTTTCTCAGGATTTCTCTGTGATCTGTTCCCGTCTGCTGGTTTCTCTCTGTTGCTGCCTCAATCTCTCCTGACCTTCCTCTTTATTCTTACATATCTTCCCATCTCCCTCTCCCCAACAAGGGATGAATTGTGCAGGTATAAGTAACAGCTTTATCTCCCCTCAAACCTATCTTTCCACAGTTTATAGCAATGGACTGGGAGCTGGAACCTTTCCTGAGGTCAGGGCCCAGCAAGCAGGTGAGGAAAAGAGGAGAGGAGTTGGAGGTGGGGGTAGTCTACACTAGGCACTGAACTCTAGAACACTACCCCTAATTTCTCTCCAGCCCCCTAGACTGACCTTGCTTCTTCCTCCCTAGGTTTCCCTGGGGCTGAAAGTTATCCAGCCAATAACTACAGCAATGGTAATTCTTGAATAAGAATGGAAATGTAATAGGGGAGCTTGAGAAGAGTATGAGAGGGGAAAAGATATTCTCTGAAGGATTGGGCTGGTAGTGCCAGATGGAAAGATTATATTCCTATATTTCCCAGGGGATAATAGGGGTAGAAAGAAGCAAAAGTAAAAGATTCTCTAGGTAATGAGGTGGGAGAGGTTAACACCAGTCTCTTGCAGGATATGGAGCTGGGGGGCCTAGATACCCTAAACCTTCCCTTTCTGAAAATGTTAAGAGACAAGGACCCAGGGATGCAACCCTTAGCAAAGTAAGGTAAAGAAGGTGGTAGTGCCTGAGAGATACATGCACTTGTATAGTGTTTTTACAAAGTTTTTTCAGCTTGGATCTAGATCTGGAAATAGTCCTAGAAGTATGAGGAAAGGGAGATGTAGAAAGGGAGAGCAACTCCCAAGGTCACACAGCAATTTAGGCAAAGAGTCCAGGTCTCCTGACTGATTCCCAGCGCTCTACAGTACAGCAGGGAATCCTGGTGGCAGCAGTAGGGGAGATCTTAGGAGGGGTTCACTGAGCTCTTCTCTTGTGTTGCAGGTGGGGCCAGCTCCTTTGGTCCTCAGGGAGTCCCCTTTCTCCCTGAAGGTTCAGACTCTGGGGCCAAGACTGCTAAGAATGACTATGGAAATGGGGTAGGTGTAGGCTCCTACCCTGCAGATGGAAGCCCACCAGGTAATATATATGTTTGGCTGGATTCTGGGAAAGTTTGCAGATTTATTTTGTGTATGTGTGTTTCACAGGATTATAGATTTAGGGCTGTAAAGTACTTCAGATATCATCTGGTCCAACTCTCTCATTATACAGATAGGAATACCGAGGCCCGGAATGTTTAAGAGACTTACTCCAGGTCACATAGGTGGTAGGTGGCAGAACCAAGATTCTATCTCAGGTCCTCTGACTCCAAATCCAGTCAGTCAGTCAATAAACATTAAATGTCGGCTATGTGCCAGGAACTGTGCTAAAAGAGGCAAATGGCAGTCCCTGTCCTCAAGGAGCTTACAATCCAGTGGCCTTTTCATTGCACCATATTTGTTGATTGCTTAGCATGAAAACCTAAATGCCTGAGTCCTGGAGAGGAGAAAAGCTAGAAAACAGGATTCCCAGGTTATGTCCCTGGGGGTTACCCCTTGAATTCTGTCCTTCCAGTCTTCCACAGATCTCATTCAATGCTCAGCTTAGTGGTTCTGCTGGCTCAGGGATGGATCCACTCCCCACCCCCTAGAAACATGAGGAGGAAATCAAAAGACAAAAGCTCCCTCCCCTGGAGGTGACAACCTGCCACCCCTTTCTCTCTCTGTCTCTGTCTCCTATGATAATGAGGCTAGCCAGACCCTTGGCATCTAGTTATGGGGAACACAGATAGGGTCCAGTCTCTACCCTCTTCAATCCATCCTACACATGCTACCAGCCTCAACTTCGTATAACCCAGCTCATCTTCTCTCTCCAGCTGATGATTTCGAAGGTCTCTTTTGGAGGGAACATTCTATGGTTTCTGGGCTCCCTGTTGGATGAAAGGATCCAGATCAAAGCTTCAAATCTAAACTCATCCAATGGTTCTACTCTCGCTCTTTAACTTTATCTCCCACTAGAGGGAGACAATGGTACGGAGCAGATGAGTGTTGGGCTGGTAGCACTGGACTTTTGAATCCTCTGACACTGAAGACAGGTTCTGAATTCAAGTCTCAGCTCTGTCACTTTTCCACTGGTGACTCAGTTACACTGCTTCTCTGGGCCTCAGTTTATTCCAGTTAAATAAGGGGATTTGGACAGGGGGGTCTGGTTCCTTCCAGTCCTACTACTCTGTCATTATATAAGACAGAAGACTTGGGTTCTACTCATTGCTTTCCACCACAGACTCTCCTTCAGCAAGTCCATTCCTGTCTCTGGATCTGGGTCTTGGATTCTCCAAATACAAGATAAAAGGATTATTCTACTGAGTGACCCAGATCAGAACCTCTGAGTTTGCTGCTAATCTTCTCATGGCCCCCAAACATACCAAGCTCACTGCCTTTGTCAGTCAGTCAGTCAGTCAGTCAGTCAGTTAACAAGCATTTATTAAGTGCCAGGAGCTGTGCTAAGCTAACACCACACCTCCTACTTGGAATTTACTCCCCAATTTCCTCTCCAAAGCCTATCTATCCTTCAAGTCGAGGCTCAAGCTGCACTTTCTCCAATCACATGTCAGCCCACATTAATCTCCCCTACTCTGTACTAATCATACTAATGGCATTTACAGAGCACTTTAACATTTGCTAAGCACTTTATATATATCATTTGATCCTCACAACAACCCCGTGAGGTAGGTATTACTGTTATCTTCATTTTCTAGATGAAGACACTGAAGCTGAGAGATTACATGATTTAACCAGGGTTACATAGTAAGTAGCTGAGGGAGACTTCCCAATTTCAAGTTCAGTAGTCTATCCACTATACCACATAGCTGCCTCCTAGGGCACTTAGTATCTGTCCCACATTACTTAACACTTGTATATGTTGTCTCGTGTGTCCATCTCATCTTCCCAACTAGGCAGCAAGTTCCTGAAAGCAGGAAACACACTAGCTTCTCTCTCCATCCCCACCATAGTGCAGCTGAATTCCAGGCTGAATACACTAGGGAAAAGGCACCCTTCTTCCTCATATAGGACATACCCCTCACCATCTTCCTCCCTCTTTCTGTCTCTTCCTGCCTTTCAGGTCTCTATGGTCAGTCTCTGGCACTTATCATAAGTGAGGGGACCTTGTATTAGAGAGAACACTAAACTGGGCATCAGAAAAGAAGATACCTAGCTCTTCCACTAATTATCAGGATTTGTAACCCTGTACAAGTTCCTTTCCCTCTGTGAGTCTCAGTTTCCTCCTCGGTACCAAGAAGGGGTTGGACTCTAAGGTTTCCTAAGAGTTTGGTATTCTACTAAGCTGTTGATGAAAACTGTATTGTGATGTGTGGAAGAGGTCCAGAAAGAGTAAGACACTCTTTGGGTGCTCTTCCCCATGCTATCCAGAAAGGCCAAGGGACAGCTGACACTGCTCATTCAGTGACTGCCTGCTGACCCCTTGGTGAGGAGAGTTCTCAGGACCCATATCCTATTCTGGGATCTTAAAATTGGGTTGAGAATTTAGAAAATAAGAAGAAATGGCATCTGGATAAAAGGAAGAAATCTGTGAGGATTCTCTACTGACTAGAGGTTATCTGTCTCCAATTTAGGTGGGCCAGATGTGAAACACAGCTTCAACAGCTTCCTGGGAAATGGCTATGGAGGTAAGACTTCTTCAGGAATAAATGATTCCCTTCCCTAACCTTTAGCACCACTGACCAGGGCCAGGCCAATGATTATATAAAGGAGCTGTGGAAAATGCCCTCCATCCCAAAGAGCTCACATACCCTACCTGGAATTCTACCATTCATCCTGTGGGGTTATGAATTGCTAGGTTAAGGCCCAATGCTGCCCTAACACTTCTCTACCTTTTCAGGTCACTGTCCTCCAGGGAAATGTTGAGCCTAAAGGGATCCCTCCGACTTCCCCAACGTGAAGATCTTCAGGGGAGCTCGAAGCCTAAGACCTGGCCACCTTACTGCTGTCAGGCTTTTTGGAAAAAACCAGGCTCCTCGGGAGGGGAGTCTCCCCTCTGCCCCATCAGGGTCCTTCTTTGGTCCTTTACCCCAGTCTTATAAGGGGCCCCTCATGGCAGAGAGGAGGAGGAGGAGATCATGGGCCTGTTAATAAAAGGATTAAATTCACAAGTTTGACTGGCGTCCAATGTGTTGATCTGGGGACTGAATGGCAGCAGGTAGTTAGGACAGCTCTACTAGGAAGCAGAAAGACCAAAGAACTGAATTCTACTCCTGGCTTTCCAATAAATGAGTTATGTTGACTTGACCAAGTCATTCCCCCCTCTCTGGGCTTCAGATCCCAACAATGAAAATTAGTTTATCCTTCTTTAGAACCCAAACAGTTCTTGGGGTATACCTCTGGAAGCAGCCTTAGGGGTCATCTCTCATCCCCTCACTTTATAGATGAAGAAACAGAAACTCAGAGAGGTTTGGTAACTTCCCAAAGGTCACACAGGCAGTAAATGGAAGAGGCAGAATTTGGTCTTCCAACTCCAAATCTGGAGCCCTTTTTGATGTAATTAAGGCTCAAGGTCACTTCCTTGATACCCCCAATTTGAGTGATCTGTCCTCTTATAATACTCCATTGCCCTTTGTTGCTGGGTCTCGTTTAACCTTATACTTTTGTTTGTTCCATAGCTCTGAGGAACTTAACCCCATAATCAGTTTTATCCCCATTATCAGAGGGCAAACTCCTTTAGAGTAGGGAAGTCACTTCATTCCACTTCAGACACCTAGTTAGGTGCTTGGCCTGTGCTAGGCCCAGAGCAGTCAAAGACAAAATGAAAAACAGTTACCCAAACAGAACTCAAGGAGTTCCCATTCTCCTGGGAAGATACATTTATTCCTCTTTAGGACAGTTTTCTCATTTGTACAATGAGGAAGTTGGTCTACCATGAACTCTAAGTTGCCTGGTTGTTGTTGTTGAATACTGATCAACTCTTTGTGACCCTGTGGACCACAGCACGCCAATACTGTCCATAGGGTTTTCTTGGCAAAGATACTGGAGTGGTTTGCCATTTCCTTCTCCAATGGATTAAGGCAAACAGAAGTTAAGTGACTTGCCCAGCATCACAGGGCTAGTAAGTCTCTGAGGCAATATTTGAACTCAGGTCTTCTTGACTCTATTCACTGAGCCACCTAGCTAAATTCTATGAACTTATGACTGTGCTTTATTTCGAGTTAAACTCTATGTACCTGGGGTGTCGCAGTGGATAGAGCACCGGCTCTGGATTCTGGAGGATCTGAGTTCAAATCCGACCTCAGACCAAACACTTGACACTTACTAGCTATGTGATTCTGGGCAAATCACTTAACCCCAATTGCCTAAAAATAATAATAAATAAATAAGTTCTATGTACCTGTGACTGTGCTTTATTTCATCTTTGTATCCACCCCTTCTTTTCAGTGCCCAGCAACATGAGGCCTTCAGTTTATTGAGCTGAATAACAGGTGATTATAATAAAGGAGAAAGAATGTTGGCTTTAAATCACAGGACTTGGGTTCAAATCTGTCTATGATTGCTTCCTGTGTAACCCTGGGCAACCAATCAATAGACATTTACGAAGGCATTTATAGGACTTCCCTAGTCCAGGTGAGAAATGATGATGGCCTGGGAAAGACGGTGGCCATGGTGGCGGTGGTGGTGTACGTGCAGGAGGTGGATTCTTCCACTAATGGGCAGGACGGAAGACCAAGAAGGATCGGGTGGGCAGCTAGGAAGAAAACCTACCATTCACTTAACCTCTGGTCCAGGTCTAAGGCCCCTTCAAGTTTTAAAACAGAGGACTCGAGAAATTGTCAAGGACGCGGGGCAGGATGGAAAGTAGGAGGAGCTATATGCACGCCCTACTTTTTAGTGGCTGCGACGGTTTGGGCCGGCTTGGGTAGTTGCCATGACTTCGATCGCGTAGCGGCTGGGCGTCCTTAGCAGCCTGTCCGTCATTGGCCCCTGGACACGTGGGCTTGGGGAGGCTTGCTTCCGATTGGCCGAGACTCGGGAGGGAGGAGGCAGCGGGCGCGTGCGTGGCCGTGTGCGAGGGCGCGCGCGCTCGGCCTCCCTAAGCCCCGGCGCCCCTCCTCGCCCGGCCTCGGGCACGGAGATCCTGGCGGCGCTGCTTCCCCGCTCCCGCTCCCGCTCCCGCTCCCACCCCCACCCCCACCCGCGGCTGTCCCAGCCCCGGCTCTCCCTGCCCCTTTCCGAGCAGCCCCAGCCGCCGCCGCTGCCGCTCCCACACCTCCCGCTGCCGGGCCTACCCCCGGGCTTGTCCCCCGGACCGCCGCCGGCCTCGTCGCTGGCTGAGCGGCCGCTGCTGCCTGAGCTGCCGGTGCGGCCGTCGCCGCTGTCGCCCCGCGGCCCTCCTGGCGCTTACGTGGCGCTGCCCCCGCTGCCCGCGGAGGCGTCCGTGCTTCCCCTGCCCCCGCCCCCCGCGCTGTCCGACCTACCTCGCCTGCCCCGCGGTCCCCTAGCCTCCCCCTCCCACCTGCCGCTGCCGCCGCTGCCGCTGGCCTCCGAGGGGCCCCGGCTGGCGGTGCGCCCCCCACGGCCGGGACCCCTGGCCGAGCCCCCCGCGCAGCTGCTGCCCCCGCTGCCCACCCGCCCCACTTTTCTGCGCCTCCTCGCCCCGCCGCCCTCCACCTGCCCGGCGCTCCCGCGCCTGCCCCAGGAGTCCTTCCCCCTGGCCGCCCACCCCGCGGACCACCATCCGCTGCCAGCCTTCCCTAGCGCCCCCAGCCCGTCCCTGCCGACGCCCCACTTCTTCCTGTCTCCACCCAGCTCCTGGCCCGATCGGGTTGCTCTGCAGAAAAATAGTCCCTGAGCACCTGGAGCTCCTGCCCTCCCCATCCAATTGAGCCCAGGGTGCCATCGGCCTTGTTCTGCAGATACCCTGGGCGAGTGGTGCTCGCTAAGTAGCCCATTGATGGCTTCAAAAGATCAGCCCCTCAGTCCTGTGTTGCAGACAGGTGGCTTGCTTCTTCGTCTCCAGCCAACTCTCGCTGGCCTCTGCCTATGACCTCTGTGTCTCCCAAAGGGATAGACCCCCCCCCCCCACACTTCTGGGGAAGAGACACAGCAGGTGGGTGAGTTTACCTTCTGGTCTTTGTCTCTCCTCTTTGCCTCTTACAAAGGCTTGTCTTCTGGCTGAGAAAAGTTGTGGTATCCTGGAATTCGAAATGACACTCAACTGTAAATGAGCAGTCCTGGGTTCTAGTTCTGGCCCTGCCACTCTATTGCTGTGAATGACCTTCACAGCAAGTCACTTACTCTCTGTGTGCTTCCCCTTTCTACTTTGTAAGTAAAATGGAGGGATTCCATGAGCTTTAGGACCCTTTCTCGTGTAACATTCACTTTTCATAACCTCTTAATTGGTTGGCAAAATACCGCATTGAAGGGATGCTTTTCTGGGCATTTAGGAAAGTGGTGATCTAGCACTGGTTCATTAATATAATCTTGTTAGATAAGCATTCCCCTTTTTGATAGAGTTTCCAGACTAGTTGATAGGGGGATACAATAGAAAACAGCATACTCATATTTCAGCAAGGTTTTTGGTAGTTATAATATATTTGGGAACAGGAGGGAGTGGAGGATAGTACAGTTAGGTGAATAATTATACCCTGAGAGAGGTGATTGAAATATCGCTGTAAAATGAAGGTATTTATCTAGATGGCCTCTGAGGTCCTTCCATCTCTAAATCCATTCTGTGACATCTGTGATCAACCTGGAGAGAGGTATCAAAGTGGAGTACCCCGTAGTTCTCTTCTAGACCCTGTTCTTTTTAACATTTTTATCAACAACCCAAAGGCAAGAAGCTTGGATATTTAACACATCCCTCATAGAATTAGAATCCCAAAATACCCAGCATGTTAAACAGGTGGGCCAAATCTAATAAAATAAAGTGAAATTTTAAATAAATGTGAAGTGTTATGGTATGTTCAAAAAAGAAATTCAACTATATACCAGGACAGGATGGAAGAGAGGTGATTAGACAATTTATGTGAGAAAGATGTGAGAATTTTAGCAGACCACACCTAGAGGAAATAATGCAGCATTATAGAATCATGGTGTCCAGAAGATGAAATAAGTCACTGAGATAGAATTGAAAGACAGGTTCCCCAAAGGAAACATTTGCTCCCTAGGACTCAGGAGACCTGAGTTTAAATCGTGGTTTTGATACTTTGTTAGCTCTATGTACCCTTGAATAAAGGGCCTTTAGACCCCTTACCTTCTCAAAGCTTCAGTTTTCTCCTTTATCCTCTAAGGAAAGTGCATTGTAACCCTTAAACTGCTACTTATGAGTTGTTGTCTCAATGCAGTCTGCCCTAATTAGCCTACACCTAGAGTATTGTGTTCAGTTTAGGGTAACACCTTTTAAAAGGAATGGTGACAAGTTGGAGTGTGTCCAGAAGAGGACATCCAGGATGGTGAGACTCAAAACTATTCCATATAAGGATTGGTTAAAGAAACAAAATGCCTACCTTAAAGAGAAGACACTTATAGTAGGGGTGATGATCACTGTCTTCAAGTATCTGAAGGGTTTTCGTGTGGAAGAGGGAATAGAATTGTTTTGTTTAGCTCCTGAGTGCAGAACTTGGGCTAGTGCTAGTGCCCCAGAAACAGATTAGGACTGTCTAAAACTGAAATGGGCAGTAAGTTGGCCTTAAAGCAGAGGCTGGATGACCATTTTGAGGGGGCCTCCTAGAGGGGATCCAAGTCAGGGTTTGATTCATTTCACCCATTGTTTACCAAGCCCTTACTATGTGGTAGGCCAGGGGTAGGGAACTTGTGGCCTGGAGGCCACATGTGGCCTTCTAGGTCCTCGAGTACAGTCTTTTGACTGAGTCCAAGTTTTACAGAAAAAATCCTTTTATTAAGGGGATTTGTTCAGTAAAGTTTGGATTCGGTCAAAGGGCTTCACCTGAGGACCCAGGGGGCCACATGTGGCCTTGAGGCTGCAGGTTCCCCATCTCTATATTAGGCTCTGGGTATGTTAAGACAAAACAGTCCCTGACATCAAGGAAACTATGTTAGGAAGAGGGAATAATATGAAATATGGCAGGAAAGATTCATTGAACCAGGTGATCTCTGAGATAACTTCC